CTTCAAGATAGGACTCGAAGGAAAATTTTTGCGTTTGAAGAATTATTGTCTGCGACATTGTGACGCGGCCATTTTTGGACTTCTCTTAGAAAAGGATTCTTAAATTTTTTAAAACATGTGTTTCTCAAAAAGCTCAAAGTGTAGATTGTAGATCTTGAGGAGCTCTATCACCACATGCAATTATTATATTTTTTCATCCTTGTTTTCCCTCTGAAAAAGAGCGATGAAAAAGGGAGAGGGGTTTGTCCGCAACTTTTTGGCGGTCACTGTATATTAGGTTGATGCAAAAATAATGAGCGTTTTCCTAGGACTTTTTTCAGGACAACTTTTCTCCATCAACCTTCTTTGTGACGGTTTCAGCATATTGTTAGAAAGCTCTTTTTATGCTCTATCTAATAATTTTCGAAAGGGACTTTTAGCCCACTTTATTAAAAATTTATAGAGCTTCAAATAATCGCACGCAAAACCAGATTTTCTTTGCATTCATTTTTCTGGCCAGAATTTAAGCGCAAATGAAGGTGCTTTTTTGAAAATTCAGCCGCTATTTATAATAAATTGTCTACATTATGCATACTCATCCATATTTTTTGAAGTTATCTAAAGTGAGATATCGGCGGCTTAACATGGGTAATAGTTGTGGTCATTTCAGAGCCCATAACTTTCTTTCGTAGAAAGCAGTCGCTCAAACTTTGCTCATCTCTGTAAGCGCGAGGGGAGGAGTCCTATTAGCAGTTTTTGCAAAAACATCCAGCTGTTCAGTACGCAGAAAATGAGAAAATTCTATACTTCGGGGTTTTGAGGCCTACTGAAAAAGTGCTAAAAAAGTTGATATTTTTGAATTTCGATTTTTCCATCTTCGCTAATCTTTTTTCTCCAAGCCGTTTCCATGTATTAGGTCGTTTCAAAAGTAATTTCGCTTCTTTCGAACGGGCGCCACATCTGATGGAACAAAGTTTTCTAAGAGATCTTGGAAGCAATCGATGCAGCATTTCATTCCCTTTCCAATGGTTATGAAATTGTTGCAAAAAAATCAATGAGCTTTCAGAAAATAACCGAAATCTGCAACCCATGCTTTTTCAGATGGTCAAGTTCCACGATTTTTTGAAACTTTCAGATCAATCCTCAGAAGGAATTCAAGTAACGATTCGATAGAGTAGTCCTTTTAGAATACAGTACTAGTTTTTTCTCTTCTTCGTAGCCCGCTGTAATTTTTCAAAAGATTTTTCAACAGAACCATCGGAATTTGGCAGGCCCATCTCAGCCACAATCGCATCAAACATCAGTAATTACTCGGAATTTCAAGCTTTCAAGATGATATATGACTTAATATTGATTTTATAAACCCGTTTACGGGTTCGAAATATCAAATTTCGAGTTTTTTGGTACAGCCTGAGTCTCGCTAAAAAAATGAGTTATGATGTTTTCTCCCTGGAAACTAAACAAATCGGAAACAAAAAACACCTTCAGAAAGAAGAGAAAATGCTGCATCGAATAGTGCGCGAGCTGCTCTTCTTTTGATGTTCTACGAGGATTTAGCTGCCCAAATATGGAACTCGGTAGCATCAGCTAAAATTCTGTTTAAAATCTATGACAAGGTATGGAAAGGAGAAAAAAGTAGTTTTGCATTCTGTAGGATTTGCTCTATAAAGGCGTTACTTGAACTCCGTCTGAGGATTGATATGAAAGTTTTGAAAAATCGTGAAATTTGACCATCTCAAAAAGCATGGGTCTCAGATTTTGGTTATTTTCTGAAAGCTCATTGACTTTTTTGCAACAATTTCATAACCATTGGAAAGGGAATGAAATGCTGCATCGATTGCTTTCAAAATCTCCCAGAAACCTTTGTTCCATCAAATGTGGCGCTCCTCTGAAAAAAGCGAAATGACTTTTAAAAACACCTAATATATTTGTACTAACGGCTTGCGGCTATAAGATAGGCTGCTTATGAATCACAACAACAAAGTGTGAAAGGAGTTATGTTTTGTCAAAAACAAGACTTCGGAAAAAAACTTTCTTGTTTTTCACATATTTTTCTGCCCATTATGTTTGGTTTTTTTCCGAGGCAGATTATGGCCTCCAATGACCAAAAATCCCTGTCGAAGTTCCTACCGTAGTCCTACAGTAATGAAGAGCGACCGGTGATTCGCTCGATACTGTTAAGTCTAAGTTGAAGCCTCCTCTACAGAATGGTGTTTAAATGGATGGAAAAGACACACTGGGAAGAGAGATATTATCGATTGAAAAGTGTGTACTTACTTTTGGGACACCCTGTATATTAGGTCGTCCCGAAAGTTCTTTCGCACCAAATTCAAAAATTCATAACTAGTTGAATTCTCAACGAATGCATAGGGTCTAAATTTTGTGTAAGAGAGAAACTCATGCTCTTTGCTCATGTCCCTGAATGGTTCGTTAATGTGTACAAATGAAGGAGATAGAAGCTCAAAACCAAAATCACTCAAAATTTGAATTTTTCGTGTAGGTTCACAAAAAATCGGAAACTTTCAACAAAAACCGGAGCAGTCGATATTGTAGGTTCTTTTATCCGCTCTTCTAACGGTGCAACGTTTGCGCCGATTGAGCGTCTCTATGAAAATTCATGATTTTCGAGCAAGCAGTATAAAAGGGCGAAGTTGATTTATTTTGGCATTTTCAGGGAATTCATAACTTTTCACAGAGACGCTCAATCGGCACAAACTTTGCACTGTTAGAAAGAGCTTGTGAAAGAGCCTACAATACTGACAGCCCCGATTTTTGTTGCAACTTTCCGATTTTTCATGACCCTATACGAAAAATTCAAATTTTGAGTGATTTTGGTTTTGAGCTTCTATCTCCTTCGTTTGTACACATTAACGAACCGTTCAGGGACATAAGCAAAAAGCATGAGTTCCTCTCTTAGACAAAATTTAGACCCTATAAATTCGTTGAGAATTCAACTAGTTATGAATTTTTGAATTTGGTGTGAAAGAACTTTCGGGACGACCTAATATATACAGGGTGTCCCAAAAAATGTATCGAACGTTTGATCGTTAATATCTCTCTTTCCAAGAAGTCTTTTGCCTTGCTTCAAGTACCATTTTGTAGAGCTGGCTTCAACTTAGATATGCGTTATAGAACGAATCACCCGTCTCTCTTTATTACTGTAGGATTACGGTAGAAACCTGAAACATATGGTGTCAATGTGGAAAAAGCTGCCGTTTCGAAATTTTTCAAAAAAATGTGAAAACTTTTGTGGTAGGGTTTTTATGGACGCTGAGTTTGATACTCGACTATTCACAAGATTACGAAGCTTTCTAAACGGTGTAATCGCACTTTTTAGGAACATTGAAAAAATGGCCGCTCCCTCTTACCTGGCATAACTCTTCAAAGCATCATAATAAGTTGGGAGCTTTACAGTTATAATCAGCAACTCAAATTAGCTAGTGTAAAAGTTTTGAGGTTGTTTTGTTTTTTTTCCGAGGCAAAGCATGGGCTTTCATTGCTCAAAACCCTCTTTGAAGTTTCTACCGTAATCCTACAGTAATGAAGGGAGATGGGTGATTCACTCTATAATGCAAATCTAAGTTGAAGCCAGCTCTACAAAATGGTACTTGAAGCAAGGCAAGCAAGGCAAAAGACTTCTTGGGAAGAGAGATATTGACGATCAAACGTCTACATTTTTTGGGACACCCTGTATATATACAGGGTGTCCCAAAAGTAAGTACACACTTTTCAATCGCCAACATCTCTCTTCTTAATGGGTCTTTTTTCGCCATTCAAGTACCATTCAGTAGAGGAGGCTTCAACTTAGATTTTCTGTATCGAGTGAATCACCGATCGCTCTTCATTACTGTAGGATTACTGTAGGAACTTCGACAAAGATTTTAGGCCATTGGAAGCCATATGCTGACTTGGAACAAAACCAAACAAGCCAAAAACCCTTATGCTATGGTTGTGGAAGCCGCTGATTTCGAATATGAATTTTCCACTTTACTTTGATGTTTCTTTTCAGAGTTCTCCCAGGTAAACCGTAATAAACGACTTCCCAGTATTTGTCAGGAATGTGATTGCACCGTCAAAAAAGCTGAATTCACTCGTAAAAAGTTATGTAGTGGAATCAGCGTGCGCGAAAATCCTAGCACACAATTTTTCAGATTTTTTGAAAAAAATTTTGTCAGATTGCATATTTCTCATTGATTCCACATGCTGGAAGTTATTACCGTAACCCCACAGTAATGAAGAGCGATCGGTGATTCGCTCAATAAAGAAAATCTAAGTTGAAGCCTCCTCTACAGAATGGTACTTGAATCGCGAAAAAAGACCCATTGGAAAGAGAGATATTGGCGATTGAAAAGTGTGTACTTACTTTTGGGACACCCTGTATATAGCAGTGGCGTACCTAGGATTTCGGCTCGGGGGGGGGGGGTGACAAAAAATTTTTTCCCGATGAAGGTGCTTGGTGTCAGCCACGCACTCCGAAAATTTTTTTGGTATGCTCCCTAAAATTTTCACGGGCTCAGAACGCCGAAATTTCAGAAAAAGGGGGCGTGGCGTGGGCCACACCCCCGAAAAAAATTTTTTTATACGGCTAAAATGAATTTTTTGAAAATGATAGAAATTATTTTTATTATTTGCAAATACAAACAAGTCATTTGCACAATTTTCTAACCCATGTAAGTAACTTTCAAAAATTTCGCGGCACGTTCTCGAGGAGGGGGGGGGTGGGGCCTCCCCCCCCCCCGCTCCCCTCCTCGTTGCGCCACCGATATGTAGCTATCATTGTCCCAAGATAATAGTTAAGCGATGATTCGATGAGTATTTATGGAAAAGTGTTTGTGAAAGTTCTTCAACTTGTGTGCTTTTGTGCATCAATCAAACACAAAAAATCGTTTTTTTTTTTCAGAAAGTTTTTTCACTAAATTATGCAAGAGACCTATGCATTTTGGTATACCAGAACCAAAGGTAATTGACATTTTTTCTCTGGAGTTCGAAAAATCAAGTGTTCATAGGTTACAAGTTGCACCGTGACGTATAAGATGTTTACGAGTAGTGATGTTGAAGCAAATGCTTTGTGTACTGCAGCAGCTCCCTTTGTATTTCAACACGCTTATCGTCGTGGTGAAGAAACAGTATGCGTTTATGGTAAGCAAACATCTGCATCTGTATTTTTATAACACCGCGTATGATGAAAAAAGGGAAGTGATATGAGTGAGAGCAGGTGACAATAAAAATGTCAAACTTAAACTACCCATTTCTTAAGTGGTTTAACGAGAGTGGAGTAGCGTACAACACCGTGTCAACTAAAGCAGACTTTGGCTTGAAGCAACGACTTTATTTGGAAGCAAATATTTCTTCCAAAAAAAAAATCATCTTCATAGTTAGGTTGTGCAAATAGTTCATTCGCATTTTCCTAACTTTTTTCTCATGACTTGTTCAGTGTTTATTAATTTGAGCATGTGCGAAAAGCTCTCATCCTGCTTCATCATTCCTCGCTTCGAATTCCATTCGTAAAATACTCATAAAATGGTTGTGTTCAAAAGCAATGGCTCGACAAAATATACAATTGTTCGATTTCGGTAGTGTTAGGTAGGAGAGACCCCAAGTACATCGTAACCTCAACCCTCACCTTCGAACTCATGCGCTAGGTCCTGTAAACAAGCTGCGAATTCGCGCCAATGACTCCCAGCCGGGGAAAGCGGGCGAGGCAGGTGAGCTTTTGAAGCGCCTCTACAAGACATAGCGCACTGATGGGGGGGGGGGGACCTGCTAGCAAAATCGGTCGAGAGTCCATTCTGCCGAGCCACAGCATTTTCGAAGAAGCAGCAACTTTCTTGAAGTATTCTGGAGACAGAGTGTTGAGTTATACAACATAGTGATAATGAGAAAGCATTAAAGCTCAAGGAAGCAGCAGCCTTGATTGAATACAAATATTCCACAGCTCAGACAATCGCCGGGGGCAGGCAGTCCGCAAACTCGCACTTTTCTGCAAGCGGTCAGCAAAATTTTGGGACGTGGCCATACCTTCAGCGAGCGGCACTTCCGTGTTATGCCAGCGGGCAGCAATAGAAAATTTTCTGCAAGCGCTCGTCAATTAATCCCTTTCAGCGAGCGCGAGCCAAAGTTTCAGTAGGCGCGGACTCTTTCTACGCAGTTTCGGGCGTCGCCGAGCAAAGGTGAGACTCTGTGTGGCAGGTGTCATCGATGGTTCAATTACCCGAGTTTGGGGTACTTACTCTCAGCGGAAGATACCTACGGGCTGTGCGGTATTTCACGAAGGACCGTGCGGCCCTCAATAATTTTGCATATTCTCGTGGAAAGTCCGCGAGAATGCGGCCATTGTGCCGCAACTAATCTATAAAAATCGCAATCGTTCTTCGAGCATTCATCCAAAATTTGGCCAACATTGTTCCAAATATCTGCAAGCGGACCTCAAGAAATCGCGAATTGGTAGCAAAATTCAGGTAAAATTAATAGTTATGGTCTTTCCAGCGCTTAAACAAAGAAGGCGTAGCGTACGAGTATACTAGACAAAGGGTTTTCAAGCATAGAAAGCTGGGCCATTTGCGCAATCTTGTGCGAATTTTCCATTACGCGCATAATTTTTTTTAGCCAAAAACTAGCTCACTGCTCAGAGGCGCTTGGCAAATAATAAAGACAGATTAGAAAGCGTTTGATATTCTTTACATTGGTTTTATGTGAACAGCCAAATTCAACTTTTGGTCCTCTCTTTGTCAGGGTAAGAAGGAAAGATATGAACACACGTTCACTTGCTTATATTCGCACTCCACAACTCTCTACAGGACTGACGTGCCAAAACACGACTTCTCGCGGGTCATCAAAACTTCCAACCAGGGTCAAGCGTGTGATGCGACTGTCGCAACGGGGGGTCGTAAAGGGGGGTACCGGCGGTGGGCGGGGGGGGGGGTTGTAAGAGGGGGTGGTTCGAACTAAAAAAGTGTGGAATGTAGGAAATAAGCTTCGTCGGAAACATCCTCTACTCTTCAGAAAACAGCATTTTTCCCTGCAAAAAAGGTGTCGCAGACGGAGATCGAACTTGCTGGCCACAAGTATGACCGAAGCTTCCAAAGATACTTTCAGAAGCTAACACTAGGCATGTATGAGTGACAAGGATGTCAAATGTAGCAATTGTCCTAGAAATCCTGGTTCCGAAGCATCACTGAAGTCTCACATTCTCGACAAAAGCGCTCATTCTTACCAGCGATAATCATCGATAATTTTTAAAACTTTTTTGTTATGTCTTTCAAAGGCCCATACAATTTACCTGTACTTTAGAGATGCTCTGCTACAGTTGTGCAAAATCTGGTTACATTTCATAGCCTGTGGATTTATTTAAAATTTTATATATGGCAACAAAAAATGAAGAAAGGGGGGTCGTATCTGGGTCGCATCTAAATTGTTTCTCCGCTATGGAGGCCTGCTTGCTGCAATTTTGCTGCATTACGAGGCCATCCTCCTGCTTTCTACCATGAAAATTTTAGGCTGTTTCATAACTTCTCAGATGAGTTACAAAATTTCAAGCTCAAATATCATAGTTTTTGCTTTTTAGGATCGCATCTAAATTTGCGAGAGTCGCATCTAGATTTTTTCGAGCTCATTGGCTCGAAAAAAGCTTCAGTGGCTAAAACTTCTTTTCTGGATAGTCTGGGCACAATACTACAGAACCTATGCTTTGCAGCCTCTCACTCTTTTCCTGGCTTTAGTTAAGAATTTTCAAACTACCGTGCTCATGCACGTTTTTGACGTCGTTCTGGAGGGCGGAAAGGTGGAAGAGGTAGGAAGAAAGCTTCTTTGTCGAGAACATCTTTTGTAGTTCAAAAATGTCATTTTTTCTCCGTGAAAAAATTTGTGTCGCCTACGGGAATCGAACATGCTGGTCTGAAGTATGCCTGAAAATCCAAAAATAAACTTGCAGAATCTCAAACATCATTAAAGGTGTGTATGTATGCTGCAGATGCTGGATGCACTCATTGGCCTAGAAATTCTGCTTCCGAAGCCTCACTGAAGTTCTCACGCAAGTGTTTTTTGAGATTGACATTCGTTTATGCAGGTTACCGTGAGGAATTTGGGCAGGGGAGGTAAGGGGGATAAAGGGGAGGGTAGGGGGGGGGGGGTCGTACGGATGGGTACCTTCAAGGGGGGGGGGTCGTAAATGAGGGTGATTTGATCGGCGAGCGTGAATCCAGCACAGATTTATTGATAGTAGCGAAAAGCGAAGTAATACAATTTAGGCATGCTTATATAGGAAACACTCTCTCTCAATATTGTGAACTATCTCGTTAAAGCTGTCTTACAGCGGAATACTTAAACACCCTTTGGCAATTGACGCATTTCATTATGAAGCTTTTGAGAACAGCGCAAGACAACACCATCAAAAGAATCCCACTGAATACATTACAAGCGTCAAGCGATACGGAAACAGATAGACGATAAGAGCTTAGCATAACCACTTTGTATCGTTACAAACACTCCCCAAGCGGAAAGAGAAACTTCAGTGCTTCTTGTGATGATAGCGAAACCATGGACCCTTAGTGTACAGCGAACTTAAGACACATAATGTAAAAGGAATAGCAATGATAAAAACTACTAGCAAAAAATTTCGCATGATGAGTTTGGGAATAAATGAGATGTGCTTGGAGAAATTGATGAAGTTGTTGCCCAATGTGCTAAGGTATGAGATATCCTTGGCAGGGTCGCTACGGTTGTCTTCGGCAGGTGCATCTTCTTCAATTTGATTATCATTGACATAATACAGAATTCCATAGACATTGATGTCCGTCTTTCCGCCAGGGCAGCTGACAACGCAATTCGTCTTGATCGCGGAATGGTTGAAGTGGAACTTCAGTTTGTTCAAAAAGCCATTCTCCGTACATTGAGCTACTTGATACTCACTCTGGCATAGAACGGTTGCCAATGTGTCTCCTTCTTTGCTCCTGCACGATAGTGTGAGTTCAGCGCCGGCTATACAGTTATAACACCCCATGAGATTGCCCACATCCACTTCACAGGTGGTTTGTATCTGACGAGTAGAAAGTTTCATGTTTTCCGCGGTAACTTGGAGTTGTAGTGCTGACCCAACATTCGTCTTCGCGTAAATGTTGCGATTAAGAGCGAATACAGCATATGACTTTGATATCTGTGGAAGGGGGTATTTTTCCATGAGTTTTTCATATTTCCGGAGCTGCATACACAAGAGGCCTTTGTAATTCCATTGGTGCAGGTACAAGCTCGGCTGGCGAATACGCATTCGAACTTCTGCGCTTTGCGTCGAGTGGGGCACTGAAGCTGTCCGGCGCTTCGCGGATTCAGCTGTCCTCTGTGCGCTGGGCTGATAATTGAGGTTTTCCCTTTAGTGGAGATGAAAGTAGACGACAATATCGGTAGCTGCGGAGTGAGAGTATTAGCAAGGGTAAATTTGAGATGGTTCCAAAGTACTGTTTGTCCAGGATGCAATCTCAATATTGTAGACGTGGATTTGGAAGTGTTCTGAAAAGTTATCATGGCGTCTACGGTCACCTCCCAACCGGGACAGGTGAACACAGTATACATTCGACGACTGGTAGGAATGGCATAAATCCTGTAAAATAAACAGCTCGGTTGACACATAAAGCAACCTTTGCAGGTTATACAGCCGCAACTGGGTGTACAATATGTGTAGCCGGGACTTTCATTAGCTATATTCGAGATTTCTTTTACTTTTTCCTTCGGAGAAATATTGTCGCATGTGTTCTCCTGGCAGGTTCCAGCTAGATAGCATCTGTGTACGGATTCTGAGTTTAGTTTATGATCCCGAGTAAAAATTCAACATTTTTCTGGCATTTGAAGAGTATACTATCAATTTTGACTAAAAGTGTTGCAATCACAAGGTTGTGGTGATTCTTGAGGGCGATACACGTTTCCTGCTGCAGTGGTTGTAGGGTGAGAAGGGTGGTTTCATCATAAGTACACGTTTCCGTATTGTTGGAGACAGAACAAAGTCGTTCGTTAGCGGTTAAAGACGTAACTTGAGAGCATTCCCGAGTGGGTTCCGGATTTGACAAAAGTACGAGAAGGCAGAGCATTACCTTAGTCTTCTTAAATTTTCGTCTTCTGTTGACGTAAGGCGGAATGCTACGACGTCTCTTTCGGATAAGTCTCGATATACTACAGTGGTAAATCGGCGTACTCTATGCGACCATGACTTTTCCATAGCGAGGTTCGGGTACACAGAAATAGATTGAGATGCTTCTTATGTTCGTCGTTGGGAGGTGACACTAATTGAGCAGAACGGAATAAGATGGTCTCAGCTTTTTGGAGAAGCGCGACATCAGTAGAGCCAAAAAGCGAGTTGGTTTGTGGGAACTTGAAAGTTAGGAACTTCAGGACAATTTTGAAAGTGGTGATCAACTTGGTCCAAGTGCTGAAACGAGTCACGTCTATCAACATTGTTTTCCACTTCTGATGTTCTTCGGACATTTTGGGAAGTTGTGACTGACTGACTTGAGTGAGTGACTTGTGAGAGATATTAGAGGAATGTGCTTGAAGGCTTGTCCCTTCTAGAATTGCTGGATTCTCGCTGTAAGTTTTTAAGGTTTCAAGACAGTTAGTAGGCCAAAAAGCTTGTTTCTGTTTTAGAAAATCAGGTCCATGCCACCACTGTGTAAGTTTGAGCAGTTCTTTTATTGTTGCACCTCGAGTCCCGACGTCTGCAGGATTGATGTCACTAGGAATGTGCCTTAGGTCAACGACAGTGTCGGTTACGATTTGTTGGATGACTTTTACGCGATTTCGGATGAAAATCGGGAGTGGTAGTAATTTGGTCGAAACCATCAAATGATGTGATGGTTTAATCATGGTTACATCGTGGTAAGCATGATCATCTTTTCACGGCCACTCAGTTCAATCGGTCATACAAAATTATGAAACAAGCAAGTAACTAGCAGAAAACCATGAGTGTTTCATGCTTGTTTCATTCTAAACCAAACTATGAGTTAAACAGCAGGTTAACATCATTGTTTCCTTATCAGATAGGGTAATGAAAACAGCACTTCATTTCATGAGACGCAGACGTGAAACCACCACATCATAGTTTAAAATGAAAAAGTACCCCCAACCACTTTTTCGTTTTAAACAATGATGTGATGGTTTTGCAAGTTAAGAAGAGTGAGGGAGATCATTCTGCAACTTACTATGAGAAAGCTTACTTGTTTACAGCTTAGATAAGGTTATAGGAAGGTGCAAGGGTGGAGACCGAACTGCAAATTTGGTAAAGCGCAATGATTGCGGGCAAGCATGAGAATGGTTTGAGTTTCGATCTCCTCCAATGACTTTGCTTTGCAAGATAGCATTTCGAGGTTTCCTGTTGGTTAATTCGTGGTTTCGTTGAGAAAATGATGTGAAGCTGCTGGTTAGCTGGTGTTATGAAAACTCAGTTAACATGATGGTTTCGACCAAATTACTACCACTCCGGAAGATCCTTGTTGGTTTTTGTCCAAGAGAGAGCTACAGTGCTGTCGCTCCAAAGATACCTCTTGGAAAGAAGGTCAAGCTGCTCAGTGACAAATGAGAGGAGTTTAGCACCGATCATCAGTGCGACTAGTTCTAAACGTGGGATCGAGATAGACTGGTTAAGTGGTGCCAGCCTTGATTTGGACATAAGGAGTGATGACTTCATGGGCAGTTCCCCTCGACGTTGAACGATGTAAGCTACGGCACAGTATGAGTTTGCAGAAGCATCAGTAAAAACGTGGACGTCAAAGTCCGTCGTATAATCCTTGGGGTCAATGACCAATCTCGGTATGACCAGGTCAGAAATTGTCCAAGACGAAATTATACGATGCCATTGAGCAGTGTACTTTTCTGGGAGGATATCGTCCCACGATAATTCGATCTTCCAAAGAGATTGAAGAAAGAGTTTCCCAACTAGGAGAACTGGTGAAAACAGTCCGATGGGATCATAGATTTGCGCGATGTGTTTCAGAACTTTTCTCTTTGTACACGAGAGGTCGGGATCTGCTAGCTTGGGTAATGGGACGGCGAGGGTGTCCTCTTCAATGTTCCAACGTAGTCCTAGCAGTTTCTGAAGTTTTGGACTTTCACTTTTTTCGTTCTCTTTGAAGAAGGAGTTCAGTTCTTGAGAATTACTTGCATTGCTCGTAGGTTCATTCCGGCACTGAGAAATAATGCCTTTGACTCTTTGTAGAATGTGACTCCATCGCCAACAGTGTTGACCCCATGGAAAACATTGTCCACGTAAGTATTCCGGAGAAGATACTGTGCTATAGGTGATGTGCTTGAAGAAAGGTGGAAGTGTATTGTGCCGGCTAGGAGAAAAGGGGAGCTAATGAGCCCAAAGGGGACTCGAGTAAAACGATAGGTTACAAGATTTTGTGCACTTACGGGCCTCAAGGGATCCTTCAGCCATAGAAAACGAGTAAAGTCGCGACAATCTTCGTTGAGACCGACCATAAGGAAGGCCTTTTCTATGTCGCTTGAGATTAAGATTTTGTGAAGCCGAGAACGAAGGAGTATACCGGTCAGATCGGGTAGGAGTACGAGTCCGCGATGTAATATGTCATTGAGACTCAGATGCCCTTTGAGTTTGGCAGATCCATCAAATACGCATCTAATTTTTACATTTCCGCCATCTTGTTTGACAACTCCGTGATGCGACAGATAGTGGCATAGATTGCACGGGGTATTTGTGGGTACTCTCTCAATAACCTTCCTTTGTAGCTGGTCCTCAAATATTGCATGATACTGTCGTAGATATGACTCATTCTCTTGCAAGGATTGGTGTTGAGCGCACAAGCGAGAGAAGGCGAGTGAAAAGTTGTTGGGCAATTGGGTTGGATTCATTTTGAAAGGCAACTTGACAATGTACCTTTTCTGTGTCTCATCATAATGCACCGTGTTATTGAAGTATCTGAGACATTCTTCATCTTCCTTTTGATCGGGATTATCCATTATTCCGACCGTTTCGAGTTTCCAGAAATTGTTTACTAGTTCGACTAGTTCTTCATGCCTAGAAGGATTTGATGAGTCGCTGTCACAGGCAGGAGCCTGCACAGCAGCACAAGCTTTATGTTTCTTAGTCTTGAAAGCACGGCCAACGATGATATTTCCAATCGTTGTGTGCAGAATTCGGTAATCCTTCGAAATTGCCTTGAAATGAAATTCTTCTGAGAGAATGATGTCCCAGAAGTAGTCATTACCTATAAGTATAGATGGCTTACAATTAGTGATGATTACGTCATTCACTTCTTCATTTTGTGGAAGGACTACACGTTGCAGGTTTCCTGTCAGCATCGGTAAGGACTTTACTTGAAGTTGCTTCGATCCCGTTTCGGTGCAAAGACCGATTGTATGATTCCGGCAAGGGAGTTCCAACGACTTAGACGTTCCAAAAGTCGAAAGGGTTATATTCTCAGTCCCTGTCGTAGCTAATTGGAGGGAAGAAGCAAGCTCCTCAGTAATATACGATTTACTTGACCCACTGTCCAAGAACGCTGTTACTGTAGTACGACAAAAGGGTTCATTTGGGTTGAACAGAGTGACAGTTGCGCACATGAGCGCGGCTTGAGAAGAAGTGATAGCATGTTCTGTCGAGCAAATGACGGGCTCCTGATTTGTAGAAACGTCCGTTTGAGTGGCAACTAAGGGCTTTTCGGTATTCGGGAGGACAGATGCTTCCTTCGTACTTTCTTCAACATGTACAGCGTGATTTTGCAATCTTTGTGATGATTTCATTGAACGTTGGGAACGAGTTGGAGCCATAGAGTTGCCGGAATTTGCAACTTGTGGGTTTGCAGGCGGTTTTCTTGAAAAATTCGAATGGAAGCATATGGACGAATGATGCCTTTTGGAGCAGAAAGTGCAGCAAAGCTTGGATGGACATTCCCTTGTGGCATGAGAGCTCGACAGGCAATTGAAGCACAATTTGCGTAGTTTTACTTGTTCTATACGTTGTTTTGGAGTAGAAAATACATCACACTCTATGGTGAGATGAATTACTGAGTTGCAATAAGAACACTTACGGCGTTTCTTGAATTCTCGAGGTTGGCTCGGCCGAGAGGTTCGGTTGCATGCGACATGGAAGCTATGAGAAGATGTTCTTGTGTTAACGGAAGGGCGAGCATGATACTCCATTTCAAACAGCGTAGAATCTTTCCTTACAATGTCTGTAAGTAGATGTAATAACTCGGAGGGTGAGACGTTATGATCGTTTGAGGTACGGTCATACACTAGACTTCTTACCCTAAGTGGGAGCTTATTCAGGAGAATAGCTCCGAGCGCAGTCTCGTTGGAGTCGTTGTGATTGTTCGAGAATTGTCGAACAAGAGAAAACATTTGATTATATAATGTAGGCAAGTGGCGTCCTTCGGGATCACAGGAAGGGAGTTGAGCTAGTTTGGTGAAAAGGATATGCCTTACGGTCACTTGATCGTCATAAAGCGTCTTCAAGATATCCATGGCTATCCCATAATTTTCGGCAGTCATAGAGAGTCCTTCGATAAATTGTAATGCTTTACCGCGCAAACATGACTTTAAAAGTGAGAATTTTGTAGTATCGTCGAGTTGAATTTTGTTGGCGACGAGTGTTGCAAATCGAGCGCTGAATTCGGGATAGTCTAAAAGATTTCCATCGAAGGTTGGCAGGTCCAATTTTGTAAGAATTGAAGCATCCACAAAATTGAGAAGAGATGGATCTAGTACAGAAGCCGTTGTTTGAGTAAAACGTCGTCTTTGATGTCTGAGGGTTTGACTATAACTATCGTCGTCGTCCACAAGTGTACTATCAGATTCGGAAGGCGGATGAAGTTCTCGTTTTACGTACTCTGCGTCGAGAATATTCAAGATAGCATCAAGCTGTTCGAGGTTGTTGACAGCAAGAGTAATATCTGCACGATAGTCTCCATACTTCGCGACGTAATCTTCAAAGACCTTTTGTTCAAGTGGGTTGGAATCTCGAAGTTTTGTCCAGTCATCGTGGAGTTTAACAGTTTTATTGTAGGCTTTTAACAAGTTTGCTTTCGTGGATGCAAGTTCGAAACGGAAGGATTCCAAATCTTCATTGTTTAAATGGCTGAGAACAGGTTCAGATGGCTCGATTCGGTATTCCTTGAGGATATCGACAATTGCTGAACAGTATCGTTGCAGCTGTCTTTTGATAAATCCAATTTGTCTTCGAAGAACTACGCTGTCAGGAATCGGCATCTTTAGAAGCGGGATGAGTGGGTCTCAGGATCGCGTTGATGACTGGCAGCTGTGTGTGACGGTGAAGAGTTGACGACTTGACTGTCGATTGCGATTTTGAATGTTCAAATAGCGCAGAAGAGTGCAGCCTCACATGAAGAGTTAGCGCAGTGGAAGATGACAGTGGCCCTTATCGAGTTGTCGTTTTTGGTGGTGAGAAAGGTGCAACCGCACAAGAGAAGCAGCAGAAGATGCGGATGAGGATCCTGCCGCGTGGTCGCCAGATGATTTGATCGGCGAGCGTGAATCCAGCACAGATTTATTGATAGTAGCGAAAAGCGAAGTAATACAATTTAGGCATGCTTATATAGGAAACACTCTCTCTCAATATTGTGAACTATCTCGTCAAAGCTGTCTTACAGCGGAATACTTAAACACCCTTTGGCAATTGACGCATTTCATTATGAAGCTTTTGAGAACAGCGCAAGACAACACCATCAAAAGAATCCCACTGAATACATTACAAGCGTTAAGCGATACGGAAACAGATAGACGATAAGAGCTTAGCATAACCACTTTGTATCGTTACAAACAGAGGGTCCCGGATCGCATCAGCACGCTTGACCCTGCTTCCAACATGTTCCCATCACGTAGTAACTGCTTCATTTACAGCGCACATATAATTCCGAATTTGGTGTATAAAGGTCGAACAAGGTCTAGGAGAAGCTAAGTGCAGAGTGTTGTGGAGATATCATGTGATAGAATGTTGTGGAAGGCTCTTTTCTAGATATTTACTAGCATCAAATGGAAAAATGATCTTCTTGCAACGTATAGCTGACATTGTGGCACAAAAGTAACATGCATTGCTAAGTAATAAAGTACGAAAATTTTTGGAAACTTGTGAGAGCGTGCGTATTCTTTCCGAATTAGGGCATACACTCACCTAATGCAACGCTGAGGGTGCGAAACATTCAGATCACGTCCATATTTTTTACATTTTCGTAATTTCAAATAAATCTGTTTTGGACATCAAGTTTACGTGGAAGCAAGAGCACGGTCTGAGTATGCTCTTGTCAGAGAAAGATCTATTGTCCGTTTAGCAAAAAGAAAAAAAAAGGTTTGCACATAATCGCACCTAAGCGCGACAAAGCTGACGTCAGTTTGCTCAGGTGTTAATCGAATTAAACAAAATTGACACGTAAGAGATGACACGCCACGGGGACTATCTCAAGTTTCTGCACCTACTACGGGACTCTCCTCGATGCTGCAAAGCACATGTATCACGCATCGCTCTGGGAAATGAAAACCAGAGCGATGAATGATAGGACCCTCATCATTCGTGGTGAGAAACTCACAAAGCGATGGAAGCCTTAGCTTGTCGTCTACTCATCTAACTTCCATCTTGTCGATTCGGCTGAGGTCCTATCACCACGGCTGACCCACTCTACCCACATTAGAAGCCCACCAAAACCAAAAACTGCTACTCTCCGACGTCAGCAGCATATGAATTAGAACTGAGTGCAAAGACGTAGAAGAAGTTGTCCTCAACGAGAGATTTACAAGTTGTGCGATTTGATTCGAATATCGAGATGCCATTAGAAGATTAGGACGGGGATGCATATGAGCTCGACCTATCGGCAACTGCCTATTTGGGTTTCTCTCCACCGCACAACTCTCTCCCTCTTGTAAACTCCATTTTTATAAAGAAAAGACATCAACGGTGGAGAAATCGCTTAACGCAACGACTCGCGCGGACATCGATCCATTCTATCGACCGAAGGTGGTTGCTCGATGTCTCAATAGTTCAAACCTTCTGAAGCGACTCCGTCATCGCGGAAGCACAATCCAGTTCAAATTTGGAAAAGAAGGTTTACCACAACGCCGCAGAAGGAAGGATCGCTTATGACGGTCATAAGCCAAAAGAGTCTCCTCAAAGACCTCACCACTTGATATAAGCCAAGCTCATATCAAGTGGTAACAGTCCTTAAGGAGACCCCAACGTACGACCACGATCGACTTATGAGCCTATACTGCGGGATCATTGTGTGCGCTTCAGTGATTTTTGGAAAAGACTTGGAAGCATCTTAATAACCACCAGTAATTTGAAAAAAAGAAGAGTTTGAGGGAAAATCCCTCCTCCAACCACCGAATACTGAGTTGCACGACAGCTTTGCTGGAGGACCATCGGAAGTACGGAGAAACTCATTTACTGGAAGCAATCAAAGGAAAACGAAGTCTCAAAGAGATACCGGTCTGACTTTTGTCAATATCACGAACAGCTGTGATATGGCAATATTGTTGTTGCAGACGGAATTCTGCTTTTTCTGACAAAGAGTGGGATCTATTGCAGAAAAACTTCCGCCACCTCTTTCGCTCATCAACACCCGTGTCATGTCTGTTCTACCTGAAGTACGACCAAAGAGAATCCTTTCTGGAGTGCGCACCGCAGTGCAGATTATGAAAGCTCCCACGACTCCAAGACGATTCTTTCCGTCGAACTCCTGCGAGCCGGAGGACAGCGTCGGATTGTCGGTAAGTGCTTCAAATATCGTCATTCTCTTTAAGAAGGGCAAATGAGCTTATGTGAAATACCGTTTAATATGCTAGTTGTCCGTGCTATGTAAGCTCTTCACAAAGAAAATTTTCGCTCTCATACCAAAGGCATCGGAGGAGCCCAGCCCTAAGAGCAAGATTCCGTAAAAAACTAGCTGGATTTCGCAAAGGGTCCGGCTGATGGGCCAGATGGTTTCGACGGTTGTAAAAGTCTGGCAGAAGTACCGCCTGTCTCTTATTCTCCAAGCTTCGTCGTCTACAAGTAAGCCTTCGACAGCGTCGAAGCCAACGTCATCATATTAATCGACTGCTACAAGGTCTGTACAACAACGATACAGCTATCCATCGCTCTTTGACCATCCTTATTGAAAAGAGAGTATGACATGATGACACAATTTCGCCGAACAATTAATCGAGGCTCTGCAGTGGGCGATAAAACTGCACTGGGACGGGAAGTGCACGCGAGTTGATAGGAGATTCCTATCGAACCTACGTTTTGCACTCGTTCTCTTTTTGAGCAGTGTCACAAGCAGAGACAATGCTGAAGGAATTCAATGAAGTAAACCAGACCGCAAACCTGACCTGTAGCCCCCTTGATCGTTGCTTGACACGATTGAGATCCAGTAAGGCCTCCATTCGTACCGTCGCAATGTTGACCAGTGTCTTCTTATTGCACCAGAAACACGGGAAACTCTCTGAAGGACTCCATTTAAGGACTTTGTAAACATGTCAGACTATCGAGTTGGCAATCTTTCTGTTCCGCGTAGGGTGTCTTACGGTGTCCAATCCGTTACAGCTATGGGCCACCGATTGTCGTCAAGACGCATGACGTGTCCGGCCTATCTGATCTAGTTCCGTTCGGCGTAAGAAGCATCCCTGATCTCCAATCGTTGACGAGAAGTGGAACTTCGAGTTCCTCCTTCACTTGCCTGATTTGTGATACTCCTAGCATTACTCTCTCTACAGGGGCGTTCGATGAAGCTCACCGCATGTTCGTCCTGCTTCCTCATGGTCCACTTTCCAAGCTTTTTTTCAAGCATACGTCAAAGCAGGAAGAGCCGTTGTGTTGAAGAGATGGGCGCAGAACGGGCGTTCTTCGTCTTCTTCACTACGTCCTCATTTGCCTTGTATGCTCCCTTTGCTGCTCGTTCCCTGCTCAGTTCGGGGCTAAAACGTTCATTATTTTGACTCCCCGACCTAGGCAAACGTAGCTAGAGCATTTGGCAATCGTCATTCCATTCAGCGTGGAAGGAGCATCAGGAACCTATCCGTTTCTCATGAATGCTGTCTTCGTCGGATCAGCAAGCTGGCCAGCATTTGTTCTGCTTGCGTGATGTTCGGTGTAATCAGGACCACATCATCAGCGAAGCGATGGCGGTGCAGCAGTCGGCCGTCGACTTCCACTCCCATGTTGTTCTATTCTAGCGTAACATGACGTTTTCTAAAGGGCCGGGCATACTTCACGCGATTTCAGTCGCGACGCGATTTGGCAATACTCCAAACATAACTCACTGTAAGCATACTTTGAATGTACAGAAAATAGGGCATTTCATCATTCCACGTTATACACACTGTGCATGTGTGGTTTGCTAGTGTTGAGTCTGAAAACTTCTGGCAAACTGCCAAATCGCGTCGCGACTGAAATCGCGTGAAGTTTGCCGGGCCCTCAAAGCAGCGCTGAAAAGTTTCGGCGATATGGTCTGTACGGTCCTTGTCATACTCCTCTCTTCACGTTGATGGTGATGTCTTCATAGAATGGTGAAATGTTGATTGTGAAGTCGTTGTGCAGCTCATCAATGATCTTGATGTACTGAGTTGGAAAACCTTTCTTATTTAAGGCATCGATGACAGCCTCATTCTCAACCGAATCAAATGGCTTCTTCAAGTCGACGAAGATGAGACAAAGCGGCATTTAGTACTTTCGCGGTAATTCGATGAGCCTTGATACTATGTGTATGTGGTACATAGCGCTGAATCCTTTCCCAAACTAGCTTGTTTGCATGTTTCTTCGTCTAATTTTCTTCCGGTCCTATTGAGATTTACTCGTGTGAATAGTTTGTAGACTGTGGACAATAAGCAGAGAGGGCAGTATTTCCGATGTCACGAATATCTCCCTTCTTGCACAAGCAACACGGTCTTGCCGGTCTTCCATTGACTTGTTACCTTGTCTTCCGTCAGATACCGCGTGAAGAGCCTGGTCAAAGTTCTGATAAGAACTGGTGGAAGATTTTCAGGTTTCCAGTTTGACCCTATCGGGCCCGGCTGCTATATGGCTTTTCATTGACATGACAGCACGTCGAATTCCTGGAAGAAAAACTGGTGCAACATATCCGTCCTCCTTGAGATGGTCGTAGGTGAACGGGGCTCGCAAAAAGATCCGAGCAGAAATTGTTTGTGACCTTCTCCATTGACATTCGGGAGGCAGTTATGGTTCCGTCAGACCGGCGAAGTGCGGTCATCTTAGTCTTGAATGACAAAGCTTCGGCGGGCGTTGCGTATACTTCTTCCAGCCTCAGCGGCATCAACCGTTACTGCTGCTCTTTTCTTTTTGAGATCTTCTCTTATCGCTTCTCTGCATCGCTTTGCAAGCTCGCACGTCAGTCGGTAATCACTTGTGGCTCGTGCTCGTCCACGTTGGCGTATCAGCTTCAGAGTCTCCAATGAAAGACGTTTCCTTGTACTTCTTGGACTTTCGTTAGCGCAATCTGAGCTGGATAAACCTTTCGTATTACTCGTCGACGTTGTCGACCACTGTATTTCTCTAAGTCGGATATCGAAAACAGGTTCAGTTGTTAGTAGCCCTGGAACGATGTTTCTTCATCTTGTTATCTTTTACCGTATATGTAAATGTTTTGCGTTTCTGTCTCTCCATTCGTAAAAAGTTGAACTTGGTACGAAGGAGACAATGGTCCGATCCCGTTTAGAATTTCGGAACAACAAACTTGAACAAACCGTGTTGATCTTACTGAATATCTCTTCGTGAAAGCTTCCATCTGCGTCAAAAAGAGTCCTAAATACTTGAACATGGTAGTTTCCTAATTATTGTGTTGCCAATTTGAATGGTTCTAGGTATCTGAGCTCTAAGCTCCATGTACTCCGTTAACTGTATTGAGTCTGTCTCCGATTCCAGCGTCAGGCAGCTCAAAGGAAGCAAGCGACAAGCCAGCTGAAGAAGAAACTCCGTCGCATCAGATGCTTTTATGTCTCATCGAATATCTTGAGTAATAGCTAGGATCCCCGGAAGCGACGCGCATTCGAGCCCGACAAGTGCGAACAGTATGCTAGGGTAATAGTTTCAGCAGGGTGCGCGAGGACGGTTAAAGAAGTAACTAACCATACGAGTGTTCAAGTTTTTAATTAATCTAGATCAATGTAGGGTCAGTCAAAGCACGACATCGCAATTTGGCTGATCTTCTAAAAAGACGTAGATTTTCGTGCCTTCAGGAGATAAATTGGAAAGGGGAGAAGTTGAGGGATACAAGAGACGGCTACAAATTTCTCTACAAAGAAACGAGCAACACCAGAAACGGCGTCGGTATAGCGATTTCGGAATCACAAAGGAATAAAATCACTGGCGTGGACTGAATAATGGTCGACTTATGGCATCAGAATAGATACAGGGAAGAGAAATCTCCGAATTCAACCGGATATGCACCTCGAGTGGGCAGCACACAGATGAAGAAGGAGAATTTAGGAGTAATGACGACTACATGAGCTTGATAGCAAACGACGAGATACTACTGATTGGGGTTTATTTATTTATTTATCTATTTATTCATACGCTCTATGGCGTTCCTTACAAAAAAGAACAAGAGAAAAAAATGTGTGGTTCTGGGTTCTAAACGGTATGTCGGGAATCAATGATGCTGTGCAAGCAAATGCCACAGAGATCACGGATACGGAACACAACGAAGAAGGAGAGCGTACCTTGGAGTTTGCCAGGGCACATGACTTAGCGCTAACGAACCCATACTTGATTTAGAAGCCTACCACCTCATCACGTACGCCTGCGGAGATTGGAAATCTCAAATAGACTTATGGATTGTACGACATTCGAGCTAATATGCGAAGAGTAGCAAAGTCATACCCGGTGAAGACTGCATACCGCAACATCGGCCACTGATTCTGAATCCGAACATTCCCGTCGACAGTCAAAGAAGAACAACGACAGAGCAAGCTGCACGCATCTAATGATGAAAGCTCGGAGATAACGATGACGTTAGAGCAGCCATGGAATCCGCTCTACGCCCTAGTCAGAAGAAAGTCAGAAGACTCCTGGAAGAACCTGAAGAACAGCGTCCATTAGATAGCCACCGATCTACTAAAACGCACGAAGCCAGGAACTCGATGAGGAAACCCGGTGCGGGAATGATGACGTGCAGTCCGCAAGAAGAAAAAGAGGACAGCCTTTGGAATATGGCAGAAGACAAATCAGAAGAAGCGCGTTAAAAATACGTAGAAGCCAAGCGAACAGCGAAAAGGAGTCTCAAACTAGCAGAGGCATACGTGGAGGAGCTCTACAGAAAGCTGCACAGTTACGGAGGTGGACGGGAGCTACAGAATTGCAAAAAGAATAGCAAACGCCTTAAAAGATGTGGAGCACTTCAGCAATAACAAAGATGTAGACGGAAGAGTGCTGAGGAAACAAGAAGCGATAGACAAGGGATGGAGAAAGAACTTCGCAGAAATGACATCTAAGCAATACTCATCAACTGCAGTGGCTGAGGCTGCACATGGACCAGTACCGGCCATCATGAATGAAGAAGTTCGAATGGCCGTGATGAGAATAAAGAACGGCAAGGCAATAGGTCGAGACGACATTCCAAGCGAGTTTTAAAGGAAGTGCGGACAATCTGAAGTACATGGCGGGCACGATTGCTGATTCGAATAGTAGAGTCCAGAAAGATGCCAAGCGACTGGTGTAGAAGAAGTACGACGGTACCGATATGGAAGAATGAAGGCGATTACGCTGTCTATCCATTCTTAAGCGTTCCTACTTTTTCTGTTATAAACATAACGAACAGAATCGCATTGTCGTTTGATCCGCATTTGTTGATTACCCGATGATCTTCAGCGTTCGACCGTATTGAATCATTTATTATTCTTGCTTTGGAGTAAATGAAGATTTTTCAAAGTTTAATTATTCAAGTCAGCAGAGCTAAGCATGCTTTTGATAAGCATAAATGCATTGTTAGACTTTTCGATAACTCAAATTTGAGTAATCGAGATTTTCATCACTTCGATACATTACCCATCAGAACATGCTTAGCACTGAAGTTACAGTACAATTTTAGAATGCTTTCATTTATTCCAAAGCAAGAAAAATGACAAAAAAAAGGTTGGTCTCGGGTATCATCGATTGCTCATACAACAAGTGAAAAATGTGGCTTAAACAACAGTCTCAGCACCTCTTTAATAGGTTCATAGTGTGAAGGGTACTAAGGTTCCGAAAATGGAGAAAGCAAAACAGTGAATCGTTGTTTACTGTTTGCTTGCTCTTTGAACTGCATAGACTTGGAACAGATAGATCAAGCGTGAATAGCTGAAACTGGGAGAATTTTTATTATAATGGGCAGATTTAAAACGAGAGATGCATCCCCAGTTGCAGTGTCAAGACGTTTTCGCAGGCGTATCAACATAGGATTGTCACTTATTCGAAGTGCAGTGCAAGAATCAGCGTATACTTCCAAAAATCGCTGTAAACTCTGATGTTGAACACAGCTCAAAAGAAAGCTTCAGATTTGAAGCTTTTGACATCTGAATTTCTGGCTGTTTAACCAAGGGAAAGCGTTTCTATGACCATCTGCTAGATTATGATCAATAGAAGCGAGGAGTTGTACAAGATTCCTAGTTTCTTGTGTGATCCATGATCTGCACCCGACCGTCTTTTTCTCGAAGTCATCTCTTTTTTTCGAAATTGATGAATTATTTCAAAAATGGAATGATTATTCAACTCAACAGTGCTAAGCATGTTTCTCATAAAAACAAATAAATTAACCCAATGACAAAAATTTCCATAAACCCCAACTCTCAACTTGTGGTTCATCGCAATCTTCACGACTTCGACACATCAACTGTTCTTATCAGAAACATGCTTAGCACTGGTTGGATAATCAGAGGAAGCAAAAAGACTTCGAGGAAAAGACTGACCGCCGGAGATTATAGGGATTACACAGCTGGAAAATGCGGCTTCAACAAATCTTGCCCCTATTCAATTTTTGTTTATTGTAGTGAGGGATAGTGGGAACACATGCGAGTAGTTAGATTGCGAATAGTTTAGATTGCTTTTAAGCTGCGATACTCTTCTCAGCGGGGATGTTAATGCATGAAGAAAAATAATTTGTAAGTTTGTTGATTATACTAGTAATGCATACAGAAAAACTTGAAAGTTTCTTGATTGTACTAGAAATGTGGTCTACGGTAAATGATGGCCTTTAAATATCAACATGCTTAAGAAAACACTTGACATTTTCTTTCGAGATAATGAGGAAACCGATGAGAAGTTCTGCAGCGAGGGCAGCGGCGATTGGTTGCGGCCCCCTTCATAACGAGGTCGTCACTTCCTCTGCGGCAGGAACTTTCATGCATACGGGCCTAGACTTACAATGCTTATGGGGTAATTTGTTTGAGCCCATGTGCTGGTTTTTTGACAGATTCTGCTAAGCCACTCAATAGGCAAATCAGAAAGAAGAAAACACAACTATCTTTATCGATATGCTCTACAGCGGAGGTATATGCAAGTTCAGCCTTCTAGGCTTTCATCGATGTGCATCACTTTGCACTTTATTTTGACATTCCTATCTGCAAAATCGCTTGGTCATTCTCAGAATGACAAAAGAATCGATCGCGATAGTTGAACGGAGTTTTGCAAACGTACATTATTGGAAAATTTACGCTGATTCTTCTGCTAAAATCAAAAAAACAAGATACGAATATAAAATACACTGTATTTGCTAACACATTTCTACTTTGCAGTAAGCTCATATCGTTGCGATGATGATGAATTTGTTGTGGAGAACCGGTGCTTCAAGCTGTTTGGCCTTAACGAAAGATTTTCTGGTGATGTTTGCAAAAGAAGGAATAGAACTTTACATGTGATACAAGACATGGACGAGTTAAAGTGGATTTCTGGCAAGTTTTTCTTAGGAGAGATTTATAGCAAAGACTTATTATTAGAATGAGGATCAGACAATGAAGCTTGGAGGAAGCGTTCAGTCACATCCATGCTTCCCCTGTTTATACAGTCTAACAGCAAACCCTAAAAGTCAGCCTTTGCGTGGCTTCGGTCTTCCAGTGTGGCATTCGAAAAGAAAAAAATCCATCGGAAACTATCAAGCCCGCTCTCCCCTGTCACTTCTCCGTCCCAGAGTTTGCTCTCTGACGCGTTCTGCGATGGCGAGCACAGTTAAGAAGCGTACTATAGACGACTCCCAGAAGTATAACAGGCCGAGCATTGTAGACTTTGACGCCGGGAAACTTTGAACCTCCATTTAGAGCATTGCTTTTTGTAATCTTTCATTATGAAGACAGTGTCCTCCCAAACTCTCGGCTACTAACTTTAATTTGGGGCCCTTCCGTTGCGAAAAGTCCGTAACCTATGAAAAAATCGTCTTCTGGCTAGCACATCTTGAAGGCGTGGACAACCTTTATTTTTGGATAGGTGTAACTTGAGAGAGTAGATATGGCTTGATAGAACTTGAATTCCCCTCCTTGCAACTATGTACTAATCAGACAACTAAAGATCTGCCTGGGCGCTGCCTTTGAAATTGCCACCCGTGTATGATGCCAAACGTCTGCGATGTCCCCGACTTTTAAGAGCTTATCACTGCATTTCTGTTGCATTGCGTCTCGTCCTGACTGTGGCTGCCATATCAGAACGCACCAGAATGCAATTTTGAATAGGGCTTTGATAGCTCCTATCAAATTGCAAATCCATCTTCTGTGAGGAATCGAGTTAGAGAAAGAACTGGACCAACGCAAATGCTTTATTCCTCGAGCTGCTTGTAGACTACAGGTAACTGAGAAGCAATCGGAAAACCGGATTTTGCCTGAAAGCTGCTTTGCATTAGACACGAACAATGGGTGCGTCAGTAATTGAATACAGAACCTTACCTATTGAACAAGATGTATGAAGTGATAAACTAGTGATTATTTTTTGCCCCTTGAATAGCTTGCATTCGACGTAAGAGCTTGATCTTAGTCGGGGTGCATGGGTTTTTCGCTTGGAGATTGATGAAGAGGTCCTAATTAAGGCACTGCCCAAAGGGCAGCGCAAATTGTTCATTCACGGCTGAGAAATTCTTTCCCGAAAACCACGAGCATGCGCCGTGGCCGTAACCCAAAAATGACTTCTCTTAGACACCCGTACCGGCCGGCGACCGTCTGGAACAACACCGATATTTCGGCCGGGCTGGTCGACGGACGGACGCCAGCCGGTCAGACATTCGCACCGGCCGGCGACCGGGCGATGGCCGTTGGCGGGACATCGTGATCCGTCCCAGCCGTTCGTGCGCGCTCGCCGGCCGCTCATAAAACGGTCGTCGGCCGAAAATGGGATCGCCAGCTGGAAGGAAAACATCGCGCGCGGCAAGTTTCAAAGCACGACATACCGTCAGATTTTGCGCAGCAAATTGACGCTACAGCTCTTTTGAGCTCTAAGCTAGCCAATCACTTCTGGAGCCAACTTTTTGCTCATTCTTTCCCTTATTTTCATGTTTTTCTTCTGAATCGCTCTGCCTGTTCACCAATTTTTTCAGACTAAAATGATGATATCTTCTTTTGAAACAGAACAGTATATGCAACCAACATGCCACTATTATGAAATACAACATTCTGGGGCGGTATGTATCAATCCCCGTCCGGGTGAGGGTTCCCATTCAGGTAGTACTAGCTTCATAGCTCGGTATTCTGGGGATCTGTGTTGTCCCTTGTTTGTCCGTACTTTGGAGGCCCTCCAAGCCTACTATTGTAGCATAATGAATAGCAGTTCTTTGCGGTATAAGCGGAGCTTTGCGTATTTTGTATGATCCCGAACGGGATCCTAAGTTAATCCGGCGCATTTTTTATTTATCTTTGCAAAAACCAAATGAAAACGTCGTACGATTATGCTGAAACCTATTATGACAGTGTTAAGCATTTTCCAGTAGCACGAATAGAATGTGGAAGTTGTTTCTCGATAAACCCCAACTTGCGAGCAAAGATTCATCAAAGACTTCGTGAACTTGAGTTTCCACTTACTACTTCCAAAAAATGTTTAGCACTGTCATAATAAGTTTTCAGCACAAGCTTACGACGTTTTCATTCAGTTTTTGCAAAGTTAAATGAATTTGAAAATGCGCCGGATTAATTTAGGATCCCGCTCGGGATCATACAAAATACCGCAAAGCTCCGCTTATACAGCAAAGAACTGCTATTCATTATGCTACAGTAGTAGGCTTGGAGGGCCTCCAAAGTACGGACAAACAAGGAAGAACACAGATCCCCAGAGCGCGAGCTATGAAGCCAATACTACCTGAATGGGAACCCTCACCCGGACAAGCGATTGATACATACCGCCCCTGGTCACCTAAAACCGTACAAAACGAACAAAATAGGGAAACAAATGGTATGCGCATTGATACTTCACACTTCACTAGTTCATCGAGTCCACCTATATGATGAGATCAGATGTGGAATCATATGGATGAGGCAGCATAGGAATCATGGAAATGAAGAGACGTACATATAGTGAGGCATGCCTGCTAACGGTCATATAACGCGGTTCTCTTGATTCAGAAAGAGCCCAAAATGGTTTTTTGACTAAAGACAATATCGCGGTCAAAGCTTCCCGAAAAGTGTGCTTCATACTGGATTCAACTTGACCATTTTTTGAATAACGCACGCAGATATGTTCACATGTAGTGTGATTATACAAAAACGTGTAATGTCTTTGTAAAATCACACCACATGTAAAAATGTCTGCGTGCGTGATTTCATAATTCGTCACTGGCTGTTTTTGCGTTTACGTCAAGCCAGAAAACGATAGCTGAAGTACGCAGTTCTTAAACGCTTGACAGTAGACAGGCTTGTCAAAATGTGTGTATGCTTAACATCTATGAAACTTCTTACGATTTGTAAAAACATTAGAGAGACTCAAACTTTTACATCCGGGTTCTCTAAAAACAAAAGCAAGACTGAGGACAAAATAGAGGGTACTTTTCCGTTATCCGGACCCATTTTTGCAAAGAAGGATACTGCTTCTTTCCCTGCACCATATTTGTTCCCAACTTCATAGGAAAGAGTGTCAACCTTCTGCCACGTGTCAAAAAAATTTGACACGTGGCAGAAGGTTGACACAATTTGCCACCTACATGTTTAACAAGTTTTACCAAGAGTTCGCGTTGCCCCACCTAGCGACATATGTTCAACCTTTTTTGGTCAATAATGACCCTATTTCCGATTAAACAATTTCAAAAATGACATTGTTATAATAATAATGTCGCCCTCTTATCAATGAACATATGTACTAGACGTGCCCAGAATAGAGATGCGCTAGGGTTCCATCACCTAAGCGGCGAAAAACAGCAGCGAGGTACTACTTTAAGCGATCATTTGTAGACTTTTCTGGCTAAACTCGCATGGCGGAAAGTTTTAAGAGAAATACATTCTTAAATCATCGCTAGAAGCAATCAAGATATTCTAGTAATGGTTCTCGATTGTTATGCTCTTATGTAAATCAGCTGGAGAGCTCATAAGTGGTTACAAATGCTCTTTTACCTCACCGGAAATGATTTCGAAAAAACGTGTCAAAGTGAACTAGAACGTGTCAATTTTTTCCTGACACGTGGCAGGGAGGCAGTCCTCGTAGAATCTATGAAAATTTGTACTTGAACTACCGAACGTATTTTATAAGAGCTTCTTGAAAAAATGGGTCCGGATAACGGAAAAGTACCAAATAGAGTTCTATACATATTTGTAAGCAAGTATTTAAGCGTAGAATCAAGTCCAGTGATCTGCTTACGAGCTGCTGGAGTGCGAATCGATCTTCCTCTGGGGCATGTCTTCGTCGCCTGATATATCCTCTGGTGGTGTTCGCAAAATGGTTAATCGTTGTCTTTCAAGCAAATGTCACATTGTTACTATGCCTCAAAATTATGCAGTTGCAATCTGCGACTGTGAATTTCGAGATAAAGAAGATAACCGACCCGGTATGGTGGGAGATAAACGTAGTTGCTGTAGAGGTTTGGGTTCACCGTCCAAGACTGCATGTATGGCGCAACTCCTGCAAGTTTTCTATTTTATGATATCAAAGGGAAGACCAGAGATGAATGTAAGGAAGAACAGATTCACCTTCGTGAAGAAGTGCCTGTCAAAGCATCTGATTGTGCGCGACTTCCTGGTTTCGCTCTTGTAGCCTCTCTTTCAAAACTCCTGAAAAGGACTTGCAGTTTGCGGGTCAATCAAAACGTGAGACTGAAATAAAATTCATCATAACATTCATGAGAACTCACTCCCATATCTGCCGACTTCCATTCGCCAGTTGACGTTCGACATGGACACGATAAATGACTGAAAAGACCAATGGTTAAGGTTTGCCCTATTAGATTGAATTTTATTCGTACCGATCCATTGAAACAGCGCCGAGATCCAAGGTTTTGAAAAAGTAGGTAAAAATTTTTGAAATTCAACAGTTCATAACTTCTTCAGAACTGCATGAATCATGTTGCGACTTCATATGTTAGATTCTACTTATCAAGAGCTTTCAGACGATATATAATATGTAGGCGTTCAGGGCCTCCTACGAATTATGCCCGGGGAGAGCCTTTTCATCACAAAATCTCCCCCTCCAATACATTAAAGTGGGCTAAGGGGAGACTTTGGTATGAAATGGCTCCCTCAGGGCATAATTCGTAGGAGGCTCTAAACCCTCACATATAAAATATTATCTGAAGGCTCTTGATGAGAAGAATCTAACTGAAGTCGCAACATGATTCATGCAGTTCTGAACGCTTTTTTACCTGCTTCTTCAAGACTCTGGATCTCGGCGCTGTTTCAGTGGATCGGAACGGCTAAGATATATCCTGATAAGGGAAACCTTACTCTATAAAACCTATGAAGTCGCAAGATCACACACTTTCACGTTCAAGATTTATATGAGTTTAACTGCCAACTGTCAAAAAACACGCAAAAATGGCGTAAATTTTTAGAATTCTGGTTTTCGATGACTATCTTTCAAATCGACTCGATTCCTTCACTCTCTGATAGACCACCATTTACTCTTCAAAACCTATGAAATCGTGACTGCTGGCATCTTCAAACAACAGGTTTATAACAGTGAAAATTTTGCATTGATTCACTATTTAATTATTCAAAATTCTGATTCTCGGCCGTTACTGCCTGGATCGATCTACTTTCTTCGCTGTACGTTATAACAAAATTTGCTTAATAAAATCCGTACAGTTTCGCTAATTTTTACTTTCAAATATACCATTTATTGAACACGTTTATTTTGAAATATATATGCCGCCGTATACATAAATATATGCTTTCAATAATCTTTTTTGCGTTTGTTTTGCTTATTTTCCTTCTTTATCGACCAGCAAATAATTTTTCATTCCAAAAGTGAAGGTGGTCACCCTGTATCAGCTCAAGAGTGAAGGTAGGGGCAGAATCGGCTCCCACTATCGCACCTCTGGTCGAGATCCGCCATTAGTTTCCAACGGTAATGGAGGTTTGGTGCATCTCCCGCGTTTTTACGGACTCGCACGGACGCCAGCCGGTGCGATTTTTCGGCCGCTCGCAGGCCGGTCTTTAGCCCCGCCCTTAAAGTTGGCGCGGCCGCCCGCCGGTGCAAGTGTCTGAGCTCTCACTATAACACTACGTTCGCGCTGGGACCCATACTAAGTGTTACAGTCACGGTGCAGCCGCGGATTGTTTGGGGACGGATTTCTCAGCCGCGAATGAATAATTTGCGCTGCGCTTTGGGCAGTTCCTAGATTAGAGCCTTCTCATCAAATTCCAGGCAAAAAACCCGTATGCTTAGGTTCCTGGACACTGCCTATAAGCACATCATATGTATTATAAAAGGCCCATGTGTTTGAGTAGAGAGATCCGCAAAATTGGTCAGTTTGATCTGGTTGAGCTGCCGTCCACAAAAACAGTTGCTGCAGCCTAAGCAATAAAAAAACGCTCCATGACTCATAAGCCATTGAGGTAACTTTTTAGTGCGAAGTCAAAAGCGCCGGTTGAGATTTAAAAAAATAAACCCGTTCCTAACACCTGCTTAGGATGGAAGTTGGCTCAGGACAGCCAGCCTCTGCCAGTAACCTCCGCCGACCTCTCTGCTGCTTCCCTATTCTTCTTTTGTATAGAACACTATGGATGCTAGTGCATTACTCAATGCCCGCTATACATCAGGCAGAGGATTTGCAGGTTTTATCCTGACAGGATGGTGAAATCATCAGACACGATGCACTAACCAAACGTTAGACAACACATCTAGTTAAAAGGCTTGTCATACTCAAAACATTTCTAAAAGCTGCTGTATCAGTAAAACAGATTTTAGAGCGATTAAATTGGAAAATTCAAGCAATAAAATTGAAGTGGTGATTTTTTTTCAACCACAGTTTTGGCATGTCGAAATGTTGCGAGAAAAGCCTTTTCGTTTGCAGTGACCGTTTGGGGAGATGAACATTGCTGAAGTTAGTGATGACTTGAAACTCAAAAGTAAAACTATTAGGCGTAAGGCCCCGGGCAGACTTCACGCGATTTGATCGTCGCGACTGAGTCGCTACGAGTTAACTGATACAACACCATTCCATGCCGATCAACTTGCATTCGGTTGTGATACTTTTCCAGCCCGAAATTTTTGAATGTGAAATGAAAATGAATGGAAATCTTGGCGATTAGATCGCGACGATTAAGTCGCGTGAAGTCTGACCGGGGTCTAAGGCATACCTCACGCGATTTCAGTCGCCGCGCGATTTGGCACTGCAACGACTCTCCATAGCTGGTCGTAAATGCATTGCTTGGGCCAGACTTGCTGCGTTTGTTAAAAGTTACGGAATCCACGCACCCATGCATCTGAAAGCCTCGCATGCTTGATCTCTAGACATCTGGCAAATCGCCAAGTCGCGAGGATTTGGCGATTTCGCGAATGAAACTGACGTTTGACCATGGTACCACATCAGTTGTACACGAGCTCGGGTGGGCAGTGGGTGTGTGTTGTTTTTTGACAGAGACTTGCAGAGTCTGATGTTTCATAATCTCTTTGCTTTTTGTTTATGATTTCACGGCTCAAAATAAGCGTGCAGCAGATAAGGATACCAGAATAGAAATCTGTGATAGCAAGCATCAGCAACTTTGAGGTTTGTTTATACAAGGAAAGATTATCACTGCATACCCGTATTTACAACAAATACCTCCGAACAGCTAGCCTACTTTCAAGTAGAAATCTGCTGTGATTTGATGTGCTTTGACTCTCTAGCATATCCTGAAGTAGAAATCTCTTTGATGTGCTTTGACTCCAAGGTTCGCTACTGTACACCCACTGTTTTTGAATAATCACTTCGAGTGAAAGTGCTTTTCTCTCCAGATCGACTGATTCTAGAAGTCAGAAAGTTAGAGTCCAGACTCAGACGGCAAAAAGCCAAATTCAAATTTTGCATTTTTTGGAATCAGTAGCAGTTTTGTTTTCGGACTGCCTACACCGTTCTGGCACAATGTAATGGATTTCTTTGGAAAATAAGATAAAGAGTGCTGCTGTGATTATGAACCGCACTTCACCTTTGAACACTAAAGTTTAGAAAGCACAAACTCTCATGCAGATTGCAGTTAGGCAGTAATACCGATTTTTTGCATTGAAAAATGTTTCTCATCAACGAGCGTATTTATTCCTATTTTGTAGTTATTTTGTCACCGATTGCTTATGAAGTGTGGATAGGAAATGATGCTGGAGTTGGATCAATTTTGCGACCAGTTTTTGCTGGTAGGTTCAGGATTTCCTTCCCTTTGGTAAAAATCTGCACCCAAGATGAGCTATTTTCTGTAAAAGTGCTATAGTTGATTGTACGTCGCCCAGGCTGAGCTCCCGCGAGCGTGTCCCTTGCGGGCTAACATGGCATTCGCGCGCATGAGCCATCACCAGCCGGCAGCCGCGTTGCAAGCGCGCTCGCGGACTTTCAGCCTGCAGCGGTATCTCAGATAATCGCCGGGAGCAGGCGGTCCGCAAATTCGCGCTTTTCTGCTACGTTTAACAGAATTTTGGGGCCTGGTCAAACCTTCAGCTGGAAGCATTTCCTTTACGGTCGCATATCCTGCTAGCGGGCAGCAATACAGCATTTTCTGCAAGCGCTCCGCTAACATTTTCTTTCAGCGAGCGCTGGCCAAACTTTCAGCAAGCGCTTGGACTCTTTTTAAGCAGTTTCGGGAAGACGCCAAGCACAGGCAACACTCTGTGTTACAGAGGTGTCACCGTTGGTTTAATTACTCAAGTTTGAGGTACTTTCTCTTAGCGAAAAGTACCTGAGGGCTGCGCGGTCCTCCACAAAGGACCGTGCGGCCTTCGAAAATTTTGCCTATTCTCGCGGAAAGTTTGCGAGAATGCGGCTATTGCGCCGCAGCTAATCTACAAGGAAACCGTAACTGTTCTCCAAGCATTCGTCTTAAAATTAGCTAAAATTCATCCAAATATCTGCAAGCGGACCGCGAGAAATCAGCGAATTATTTTTCCGGTGCCCATCCGCCCATACATCGCATGACCGCCTCCGCCGGCGATTATCTGAGGGGGCAGACGACCATACGATTTATGGTCAAGCGCTCACCGGAAAAATAGTTCGCTGATTTCTTGCATTATATCCCAAAGTATCCCAAGGTCCGCCTGCAGAAATCTTAAATGATTTTGGCCAAATTTTAGATGAACGCTCGGAGGAACTATCGCGGTCTTTCTGTGGATAAGCTGCGGCCCAGTGGCCGCATTGTCGCGGACTTTTTGCGAGAATATGCAAAATTATTAAGGGCCGCACGAGCCTCTTTAAAGGATCGCACAGCCCGTAGGTACCTTCCGCTGACAATGAGAGAAAGTATCCCAAACTCGGGTAATCGAACCACCGGTGACACCTATGCCAAATAGAGTCTTACCTGTGCTCGGCGTAAGCCCGAAACTGCGTCCGAACGCCTGCTGAAAGTTTGGCTAGCGCTCGCTGAAAGAGGTTATTTGACGAGCGCCTGCAGAAAATTCTGTGCTGCTGCCCGCTGGCAGAACATGCGATAGTAAAGGAAGTACCGCTTGCTGAAGGTTTGGCCACGTCCCAAAATTCTGCTGACCGCGTGCAAGAAAGCGCGAGTTTGTGGATCACCTGTCCCGGGCAACTTTAACCGTTGTCGCACCGCTATATTTACATGACGCTTCTTTTCTTAATTATGGAAAATTCCTTTTCAAAAATTGAAGAAAGTTTTTACCATTACGATGAAACAAATATTTTTTTGTATTATTTATTCTTTACATTCTTTGTTCAGAGGCAGCGATTGGGTGAAGGTGCGAATTCGCCGTTGAAACTGGACATCCTTGACTCCTCCTTGCAGCATAACTCAAATGCATAACTTTAGTTCAGAAGTGGGAAATCAGTTCAAGAAGTTGCGAAGCGCACACCCTAGGCGAAAACCTCGCTCGGACGTTAGTTCCTTTGACATCGTCCCTGCCTCAGTAAGACTGCTTGAAAAAAGAATGATGTCGATGCAAAATGCAGGCTTAGGAGGAATTTTCAGTTAACTAGTATGCCGCCCTCATCTCAGTCTAGTGATTTCATCACCCATCGTCACCCATTCATTTCACATCATTCAGGCTCCTGATGAGCTTCGGCAAGATTATGTAGTATACTTGGGTCCGAATCGAATAGAAATTCGATCATTCGAATAAAACGTTCGAATATAACCGCATTCGAGATTGATATTCCGAGTTTTTTCCATTTTCGAATAATATTCGAAACTCGAATAATCAAAAAACAGGGTTTTGAATAAAATTCGAAAACTCAAACAATCAAAAAACGGGGTTTCGAATAGATTATATTCGAATGATTTATTCTAATGTTTTTTTGAATTCGTATTCGAATGAACTCTGTACTCACAATCAGATTATTCGAGTTTGTTGCAGAGCCAACTGCTGAGTATCAAACTTGCTTCGTTTGCGTTTTTTCCGCAAAACTCGGTAATGCATCTTTTTACAATCGTGATGACCTTTGAACTGTGTGAAAAGTCGCATTTCTCCGACTGCTTGTGAGTAAAAAATTAGGTATGGATTTTGATTAATGCTTTTCGATCAATGAGATACTTCGGATTGCTATTGGCACCAAATCAGCAAAAAAAAAAAAACAGCGATCAAATTCAAGCTCATCTTCCGAGTTTATAAACTGGAAATGTGTTGACATGCCTGTCTCTCTTCCTTTGCATTGCTCATCCTTTTGGTGCGCAAAGGTCCACACTAGTGAGCCCTTTTGCTTATAAAACTCATGCTGCACATTTGCTTCTGTTCTTTACCTCAGAGATTTTTCGCGAGTTGGTGTATTTTGAGTAAAGGACATCGCAGCTGAAGTGGAGGACTAGACGGTTGCTGAATTTTGCAGTTATATCACCCTGCAATAGAGTTTTGTTCAGTAGATAGTATTTGATAGTTCTGTTATCACAGCGCATCCAAAATTTTCACGGAGGCTTGGAGGCACTTTGACCGGGCCTATCAACTATGGCAAAGGCTAAAGCCGGACGAAGAAGGTCCAGGTTGAGAAATGCAAGCTTTGATTATGACAGGCCCCGCACATACTTCACGCTACTCATACGCGATTTGCCAGTTACAAGACGCTAGCTACGGTTTGTGTATTGGTACAGGAGGCTAAGGGAAAGTGCTGATATGATGAATATTTTGTCGATTTTATCCTTTATTTAGATTTTGAGCTACGAGGCTGGGAGTTGGTACGGAGGGGGGGGGGGGTAAATGAGGGCGCTGATAAAAATAAAATCTATTTTATCCGCATCATTTTTGGAAAATCTTAAGCTAGGAGTTGGTGTAGGGATATGAGGGTGCTGATTATGAATGGATCGGCTTTAGCCGAATATGTCAGAAGTTTTAGATTTTGTCTAGTTATTCTATAAATCATCCGAATATTTATTCGGAATTGGACTCCCAATGTTCGAATATAATCGATATTCATTCAATATTTTCAATTTTCCGATTTTATTCGAGATTCATTCATTCGAGAATTTTTGAATCTCGAATTTATTCGATATTCGTTCATTCGAGACTATTAATTTCCGAGTTTGTTCGATGTTCATTTATTCGAACTTTTTTATTGCCTGTAGGATCCCATTTCACAGGATGATCAAAGGCGGTGGAATAGCTGTACCGTCGTCCTTGTAGCACGGATAATGTCCTGACAAAGCTGTTCTACTCCTTATCGACTGTTTTAGAGTGCCTTTCGACATCTGGAAGACACACCCTCTTGTAGTGCGCACTTTCGAAATAAGCGACAGCAGCGGTAACAAGCATCGCAATGTTGCAGGAATTCAAGGAACTGCAGATGAAAAAGAAATTAAAGGCAAATGAGTATAGCGAATGCGAAAAATTTGAGCAAATTGCATCCGCTTTGACTCCTGCGCTGTCTATACCATTGAGAGTGATGGCTGCTCGTGTGGCTTGGGCTTCGCGCGGCCGCCTCGCCTGGGCTCTGCTTCTTTTGCGAGCTTGCTCTTCAATCATTTTCTCACATTCAATTAATGATTAAAGCTGTAACCCGTATGCGTGCATACCCGCAGAGAAGGGATGCGCTTTTTACTATTGAAATGATCTCCGCTGGGGCTCCCCTCCCTTCCTCACAAATCTTCGTACGCACGCAGACAATATTGGCGAAGGGATCTCCTGGGAATAGAGGAAGAGAACCTTTTTATGCACAAGGAGGGAATCAAGCGAAGAAATCACTTCGCTTTTGCTTTTCTACGGTAATAATCTCTCTATTCTCATCTTTTGAATCTATTCATCTTCATTTCGTCATCGGCAATAATGCAGGTGTTCCGGAATGCGCCTCTGCCTAACCGCGGCTCTGACGGCGCACCAAAAATAAATTTTTTTACGCCCGTTATATCCTGCGTTGTCATGAATGCTGCTCGCTCCCATGCCGCCCATTTCAAGGTAAAGGGTTCAACAATAGAAGTCAAGACGGTATGAGTAGACTACGTTATGCTGCCCAAAAAAGGGGAGGGGTGCCGCGAAACTCAAACTACCATTTCCACACATAATAGAAGCTGCCAATTGTCCCAGCTCTCCACAAAGACTGCAGCTACTAGCAACATATCGTCCATAACCTCAAGGAAATGATCCCCAGCGGCTATCCGCTATGCACGAGGGGAACGCTGGATGGGGGGTTTTTCACTCGGAAATAGGCAAATCTGCTCAATTTTACTTTTTTCAAAGCAACTTATTAAGATAGCAAGATAAAGACAGCATGTCATATAATATGATAATTACAATGTGCTCAATCAACCTATGTGGATGAAAATCTTGGCAGAAACCCCTACAAATATTCGAAGTTGCCACACATATAATCAATTCTTCGCAAGAAGCGAATACAAAGGGGGGAGGGAGACGAAACTGAAAGCTACATTTGTTGTGAGAGGGACCGGATTTGAAAGGAAACCTTTCATCAAATCAAATGAAATGCTTTGTAATAACTGTAAATTAGAATCGCTTCTCCAACAGAACCTACACCTTACACCATCAAACTCCTCCGTTGCAGGGGATGTCGTTCGATATTAGGCGAATTTCAATATCCCATCTGCGAAGCCAAATACTGGCTTTGAGACAGCAGAGCAGTATTGGGGAATGACTGGCATACCTTGAAAATACCGCGGAAATTACAAAATGCTGCAAACAACGACTTTTTTGTAAGAGGGTACACCACCATAACACAATTGCAAGGACATTGTTACATTAACTGTTAAATTCACTCCCACCAATTCAAAATCAACATTATTACTACTGACAGCAACTAAAGAATACAAGGATGCCCTGAAACCAGTAATAGGAAAAAATAACGAAAAAGAGAGAGAGAGAAAAACAATGGGAGGGGTTAAAGGAGAAGAGCGAGAAAGAACAAAGGCAGGCGAAATTGATATTCTTCACATTACTCTTCCAAAAGCCGCCGGTAAAGAATTGTCTTAAAACAACTTTTTTGGCGAAGACTTGTAGTACCAGTGAGGTAGATGCGATTATAGCGATTACAACGTCTCCGCTATAGGTGCAGAAGAGTAGATTTCTCCTCTCCGCTTTGTCGTAAAAGGATTCATTGAAGCGTTCCCCTGAAAATCACACCCCTCTCTTTCCCAGCGGGAATATAAGTGCATGCGAGCTTAGGTGTGAAATGATCGGAGAGCACGTTTACAAAAAAGGTGTGGAGCCTAGGCGAGAGCGTCGCGCGAAACAGCCGCACGGTCACCCATCACTCCTACACTAAGTGAAATGCACTTTCCATGTCAACGTTCTTTTATAGGCGAGCAAGAAGAGCGCATTATACGAGAAATACTCAGATAATTGCCGGGGTAGGCGGACCGCAAACTCGCCTTTCTTGCAAGCGGTCGGCGGAATTTTGGGGCGTGGCCAAACTTTTAGCGAGCGCTACTTCCTTTACTGCCACATGTTCTGCTAGCGGGCAGCAATAAAGATTCTGCGCGCGCTCGTCAAATTTCTTCCCAGCAGCGCTGGGCAAATTCTCAGCAAGCGCGCTGACTCTTATTACGCAGTTTCGAGTGTACGTCGAGTAAAGGTAACACTCTACATAACAGAGGTGTCGTCGATGGTATAATTACCAAAATTTGGAGTGCTTTCTTCTAGCGGAAGGTACCCAGAAGCTGTGCGGTCCTTTCACAAAGGACCGGGCGGCTCCCAATAATTTTGCATATTCTCTCGGAAAGTCCGCGAGAATGCAGCCGCTGCGCCGCAATTATTTCATGAGAAAACCGCAATTGTTTCTCGAGCATTCGTCCAAAATATGGCCAACATTCCTTCGAATATTTGCAAGCGGTCCGCAAAGAATTTGCGAACTATTTTCCGGTGCCCGCCTGTATATAAGTAGTATGGCCGCCTACCCCGGCGATTATCTGAAAGTGGAAGCAGTACGAATATCAAAATACAAATTATTTTGGATCTCTTATTTGCCATACCTTTGAAACTTTGAAATCCTGACGTATCGCTGATTCGTTGACCCCACGGACTGCTCAAACGTTCCTGATCGCGTGCGGCACGGCCAAAAAGTTGCGAGAGCACACTTGCCAATGCCGCATTTGTGCTGTGGCAAGCGTTTCATCTCGCGGCGCGTGCTTCGCAGTCCAGTCCGTGCTGTCAGCAAATCGAGGATAGAAGAATAATGTTTAATTTTTTCACGACAGCGCCCACAATTGTGTTGGAGATTGCGAAATACAGGGTGTCCCAAAAAAATGTGAGCAGATCGTAAATAACTCCCTTGCTTTCACGTCTTTCGCCGAGCTTTAGGCACCATTATGTAGAGAGAGGTATAACTTAGATTTACAGTATAAAGCGAAACTCCGATCTCCTTTCGTTACTGTAAAATCACGGTAGGAACTTTGAAGAGTTTCATGCCATAAGAGTCGCATTTCGCCCCGGAAAGGAAACCAAACAAGCCAAAATCTCTTGTACGATGGTAATTGAAGCCGCTGATTTCGAATACGAATTTTCCACCTCACTAGGATGCTTCTTTCCAAGGTTATCCCAGGTAAACCTTAATAACTGAATTTCCAGCATTTGTCAGAAATTTGACTACACAGTCAAAAAAGCTGGAAACACTCTTAAAAAGTTGTGTATTGGAACCAGCGTGCGCGAAAACCCTAGTAGTTTTTCAGATTTTTTGAAAAGAATTTTGTCAAATGGCATATTTCACAGTGGGTCCACATGCTAGAAGTTTATACCGTAATCCTACAGTAACGAAGAGAGACTGAAGTTTCGCTCCATACAGTAAATCTAAGTTGAACCTCGCTCCACAGAAGGGTGCCTCAAGCTTGGCAAAAGACATGAAAGCAACAGAGTTATTAACGATCAAACAGTGTTAACATTTTTTTGGGACACCCTATATTTGGCACATTTTCTAAACTACCTGAAATTTCTATTCCTACCTTACTTCCTGTTCCAATAATGTTCGTGTATTTCATATATTTAGGTGAACAAAGTAAAAATACTGAAGGAATGAAGATCAAGTTGCGTGTAAGCAATGGCTTTTTCGACCGTTGGCCAAGAGGGACACTTATCTATGGGAGTCCTGAAGAAGAAATTCTCCCTCATTTATGTTCAAGGCCAGCACAAGCATATGAAGATAGTATGTTTATCTTTATAATTTCCACTCTGCAGATTTGTGAGTTATATATGCTGTTGCAGCATTGAGAGACCTAATGGACAATATTGGAAGAACAGGTGTTCCGGTTAATCAAGGGAAAGACCGATTTGGAGGGACAAGGGCATTTTCTTATCATCCGGTTATGCTAGCAGTGCAAGGCCAAGGAAAGTTGGAGCCTAAATTGGAATTGCTGCATACATTTTGCAATGTGAGTTTATCCAATTCAAAATTCTACAAACATTTAGCGAATACTTCTTTTTGAAAAAAGCTACTGTACTTATGTTGTTGGATAAAGTTTGTTGAAAAAATGAGATAAAGGGTTACATACGATAATCGAAAATTCTCAGACGCTATATTTGCTAAATTGATGCTGCCTTAACATGCGCTACTGAAAGTGCACGCGAATTACCTCGACATAGAGAGTGTCTGAAAAAATGTGCACATTGGACAAAATTATTGGACAAAGCTCAAATAAATTCAAACAATGTGCACATTATTTGATCGTTTAAGTCTCTTGCTTCTGCATCCGCTGATTTTTAAGCACTATTTCGTGGAGCTGGCTTTGGCTTAGATTTACAGTATACTGCAAATCTTCCGTACTCTCCCTCTCTTCGTTACTGTAGGATGATGGTTGGAACTTTGAAGAGGGTTCTAAGCCTTCAAGAGTCACATTTTGCCTCAACAAAAAAGACTAGGCACAAGAATTCCTTCATTAGGCTAAAAGAATTGCTGATCTCAAGTACGAAACTTGTAGATTACAGACATTTTATTCCATGAATTACTCCTAGCAAAGAACTGCATTTTCACTAAATGACTGTTGTGCCGAAACCAGGTTTCTTGGTGGATGTTTATTCGACCGACGTTTCGACGGGCTCGTCTTTTTCAAGAGGTCTGAACGTAGATTATAGGTTTTTGGATCTGACCAGTACGCCGCCAAGAGCCTCCTCCACGAGTGCTAGTCTAGACCTTATCGGAGGATAGCAGCCAGCGGGAAACCATCAAAGTTGTGAAGCGAGCTAACCTTAACTCCACCGCATACCAGTAAGTCCGCACAATGGGACAATAGCGGACGTCACTGAGTGTCACCCAATGAGTCAAGGGTATTTATGTGCGGCTGTTCAGATTGCATAGCGGTATGAACGGCAAGAGATCACTGTTAATTGACACGCATTCATTCTTAGCATTCATTTTAGGATTCAAGTATCCATGCTGCCTCAAGGATCTTTCTTGCGCAAATCTCAGTCTCGTAAGACAGAATGGTACATTTGACTTTGAAGTCATTTCCACCATGTGCCTCAGCTTTGTGTCTTCCCAACGGTGTTGTTAATATCCCACGTCTTTTGCTAGCCAAATGTTCTTTTAGTCTTACACCCAACGCTCTACCCGTCTCTCCTATGTAGCAGTCTTGGCTATAGTTAGAACCGAATATTCGTGTTCGAATAATTTATTCGAAATATTCGACTATTCGAATATTCGAATAGTCGAATATTCAAAACAGTCCAATTATTCAATTATTCGAATAGTCGAATAAATGAAAATGGCCTGTATTCGAATATTTCGTCCATTCGATGATTTGGAAAAATGAGTTATTCGAATATTCGTTTATTCAAGGAATTTCAAAAGACGGTTATTCGAATATTCGAATATTCGAGCCAACTTGAAAGACAGTCATTCGAAAATTCGAATATTTAAGAGCATTCATTCGAACATTCGATGTCAATAGAAAACTTTAACTGTTCTACACTGAGTAAAAGTATGTCCCCGATCGGTCAATCACACAAATGAATTATCAAATGACAAAATGGCTAGCAAGCTTCCCTTTTGAAGCATGAGTCGCGAGTCATGCCAGAGCATAGTGATGACAAGCCCTTTACATAATTCATTTGGAGTGGTGAACTATCTTCTGGAAATCGCGTCTGAGAAGTTGAGACGCGTAATCACGCGCAGATACCTCCAAGCTCTAAATTGGGTGAAGAAGCAAAGCCATCATTAGGCGCCCAACGCACCACTGGTCCTCAAACAGCTTGCATAAGCAGGTGAAGGACCAGCAGTTTTAAGGCAGCCGGTATAGGCAACATTCATTCCTTCATCTCGAGGTCTTCATTTGCCTTGCCAGCCTAATCACCGCGCGTGTCAAAATACCTTAAAGATACGTTACAACGCAAGGCCAGAGCAAGGCGGTCATGAGGACCTGAGCCGCTTGACTTGTGGCGGCAGCCTATATGTCAGTCATTATATTCAAATCAGCTGCCTTTATAGTCAAGAGGCGTAGAAAACTAATGTTAGAATTACACGCCTACATGAAGTACGCGTGTAGGCGCCTACTCGAAGTATTATTCCTCTACGAACTTTGCATCATTGCTAATACTACTCCGAGTAGGCGTGTAGGTTGAACAATAATTATTTTGAACCTGAGTAAAAGATATGGAAGATCCCTTACAACAAAAGTACAAACCTCAATGCAACTAAAACAATTTGTGAGAATCCAATCCTACACCAGAAACTGTGAAACTCGGGGATTGATAATTCCCGACAAGTATTAGATTATCAGCTAATATACAGATATTTCCACGAGTTTTCTTTTTCTGGATTTAGATGAGCACAGAAGTATTAGATTATCCTGAAAGCTTTGTCCGTTTTTTTTTCATCGCTCACTAGAACTCACAGAACACCGATCCATGATCAACTTAGGTACGATATGATACAGATTTTTATCTTCTTTCTTATAGCTGTATTTGCTCTCTGATCTACTCTGTCTTTGCAATGTTATCGCCACGGCTTCCTGAGCAGCTCAGAAGTAACGCCAAATTTTTACCGAGTTTTAAAAAATTTTATACTGATGTTTTCAAAGAGCGCTGATGAATGTCATGTAGAGCAAGTCTTTAGCTACATTGTACCCTTTTTATTAGGTTGTCCGGAAATTAATGCAGGTTTTGAATTCCAACCGCATTAAGTCATACACTTCTCATTTCTAAATAGGTTGCAAGGTACCGTTCGATAGAGCAAAGCAAGCTCTACAAGATGGCAGTCATGATTTAGCAACAGCTCCAATCCACCACGAGTTTCGAGCCAAAAATTAAAAAGATTTAAATACCCAAAAAATTGGTAAAAATGTAACTCAGTTCATAAAAATTCTATAAAATTTCTAACTCGCTCACGTAAACACTGTCCACATAAGACGTATATGTACGCCGTTGCCGTATATTTTTCTCTGTTAGAAACCAAAAAAACGAAGATTTTCATGTTTTTGCCAAAGTGATCCTGTGCCGTTCCCACATGAGTAGTTGTATACTACAAACCTGTAAAAGTATAATACAAACGTAAATTTCCAGCTCTCTACAAGCTTTAGTTCTCGAGAAATTCGAATTTTAGCTTGAACCACATGACTAGGAAAACTGTATTCGATATTTCTCGAGAACTAAAGCTTGTAGAGAGCTGAAAATTTACGTTTGTACTTCTACAGGTTTGTAGTATACAACTACTCATGTGGGAACGGCACAGGATCACTTTGGCAGAAACATGAAAATCTTCGTTTTTTTGGTTTCTAACCGAGAAAAAAATACGGCAACGGCGTACATATACGTCTTATGTGGACAGTGTTTACGTGAGCGAGCTAGAATTTTTATAGGATTTTTATGAACTGAATTACGATTTTTCTCAATTTTTTGGGTAGTTAAATCTTTTTAGTTTTTGGCTCAAAACTCGTGGTGGATTGGAGCTGTTGCTAAATCATGACTGCCATCTTGTAGAGCTTGCTTTGCTCTATCGAACGGTATTTTGCAACCTACTTAGAAATGAGAAGTGTATGACTTAATGCGGTTGGAATTCAAAACCTGCATTAATTTCCGGACAACCTAATAGATTACATGGGCCATGTTTACCAAGCTCCTTATAATTATTTGTTTGATGAAAACTGCGCCTTTTTGACTACGTTTACCACGTAAAAGTACCGAAAATTCCAAAAAGCTACTTTTCAAAGCAAATCAAACTTGCTTATGTAGCGTAAATAATGTTTGATAAGAACCATATTTCAATTCGCAAAAGTTTCAAAAGCTTTCGTGTATTTGCTGCAGTTGTGTGTTTCATGACTTTGCCAGAAATCGAGACTTCCGAAGATATAATGTTTTTTAAGTTAAAACAGCAAATTAAGAGAATCTGAGATATTACCCTGTATTCCGAGAATTGCTCTGTTTGATCCATATTAGTCCTTTCCGAAACTTTGAAATGAAATTCAAAAAAGTAGCCTAACTTTGAGCAGATAAAATTGACGGATGGAGAATTTTGGCAATTGTCAAAGAAAGCATACAAGATTGTAGTTCGGAAGTGTATTCTTAAAAAAAGAGAAGGAAAAGCTGCATCGAATGCTGAAACTCACTCAGGTCTTTATTGTGCGTGGTTTGATACTAATTTGAAAAAACGGACAAAACTTTCGGTACAACAGCAGAGGTTCATATATTCTATTACTGTAGGCCTTCCTCGTGCTCCTCCAGTGCTAGTCTTAGAACTAGCGCAATGCTGACCATTACCATTAAATTACAAAGAACTACCTAATGTAAAATGTTTTCCGTGTTAAATCTTCAGCTTTGGGAAAAAGTTCTGTGTAGCTTCGGGAGAAACTTCTGAGGAAAAATAAATGCGGATTTGAAACGATTACAAAGTCTTAGTAGCCATCTTAAAAGACCATGAACACCTCGAACTACATGTTTGGGTGAAGTTCTTCTGTTTCCTAAGTGGAACCCTGACCAACGACAATAACGAAGTCTTCCTACCACTTGCTACACATATAATTATCAGCTACAAAGATCAAATCAGCGATCAATTTTTTGCAGAAAACCGCAACAAAGAATAAACCAGCATTGTTTTGAGGTGTTAGATTATTCGAATTGTTCGAATAGTCGAATATTCGACCATATGTAATTATTCGATTATTCGAATAGTCGACTATTCGACTATATGTAATTATTCGATAATTCGAATAGTCGAATGTTCGACCCACCCCATTTATTCGAATATTCGTTCATTCGAATTTTGAAATGTAGCATTATTCGAATATTCGAATTCGAATAATCTGAAAATTACAGATCGAATAATATTCGTTCGTTCGAATATTTTTCAAAAGCCGATTATTCGAAATTCATTCGTTCGACGAATTTTTTCGGTCGTTCTAACTATAGTCTTGGCAGCTTAAACATTCCAGCTGGTATATCA